GATTCTGAAGCTTCATCTGACATACTTTGGGCGTGTTGCAAGGACATACTGTTCCTTGGAGAGGGACATCATGTTTGGCAGAGTGGAGGGATGGTGAAGGAGAGGAAGACCTTCGATGAGATGGATCGATTCTGTGAGTGGAGTGGTGGGAATGAGTGTGTTTGAGATGGCGAGGTTGGCACAGGATAGAACGTTTAGAGCTCTTGTACATAGGGTCGCTATGAGTCGCAAACAACTCGATGGCACACAACAACAACAGCATGATGCTCAAGAGATCTCAGCATTGCTTCCAGGTTAAGATGGACTAGGAAAAAAAATGTCTGGGAATATATTTCCAAGAATCAGTCAATGAAAACTCTTTGGATAACAATACTCGAACACATAATCATCAGCAAGACCAAGTAGTGTTGAGTATGGGATCACCATGTGTTTGGGGGCCACATCCACACCAGCTAAAAACAAGATTATAGTTCTAGATCTTTGGAGAGAATGCAACAGACGGCTAGAGGGCGAATAAAGACAGAGGAAGAAACAATGCCTTTGAAGTGTGGTTTGGAGAAGAGGACTGACTCAACCATGGACGGCTAAAAGAACAGATATATCTTGGAGAAGGAGCAACTAGAGTTCTCCTTAGAGGCAAAGACAGTGAAATTTCATCTCACATACTTTCAGTATGTTGTCAGAAGGATCCAGTCCTTAGCAAAAGACATCCTGTTGGGAACTATGAAGGGTCAGAGAAAGGAGAGGAAAATCTTTAACAAGAGAGACTGGCACTGTGACTGTGACAATGGACTTGAATGTATCAGATATCATGAGGAGGGTACAGGGCAGGGCCAGGTCCAGATCTGTTATTTATCATTTCAATACTTGTCGTAGTTGACTCGATTGCACACAACAATAGCAACTACAGAGACACTGTGCATTTGCATCTCGTGCCTCACCTCTAGGGATGTTAACCCTGGTCTCCTGGCTGAGATGGGTCAGCAACTTCTCTCCTGCAAACTTCTCTCTGCCTTCTTCCATAGGCCACTCTTGACAGCACCTCACAAAGGTCGTCATCCTCAAACCCAGGACTATACCCACAGGACGTATTTGGAATTCATTTTTTTTCAGGTTTTGGGGCTGTATTTTTTTTTAATTTATTATTAATTTCAATGACAACGACCAAGAGAGAGCTACGTTGGCCTAGTGGAAGGAAGCTGTGCTACCAAGCTGAAGGTGGGTGATTTTCATCTGTGGCCCTCGGCCAGGTTCAAATTGTCTTCCTGTCAAACATTCTTCTAGGT